TAAGCCCAATCGGGCTTTTGAGCACATGCACTAAAATAAGCCCTCCCCTGAAAATAAGCCCTCCCCTGAAAATATTGCAACACAGCAGAAGCCAGGAGGTGACCACACTCGCCGCCTCCTGCACCTCAAAAATAATAAGACCTCCCTGAAAATAAGACCTCTCTGGATAATAAGCCCAATCGGGCTTTTGAGCACATGCACTAAAATAAGCCCTCCCCTGAAAATATTGCAACACAGCAGAAGCCAGGAGGTGACCACACTCGCCGCCTCCTGCACCTCAAAAATAATAAGACCTCCCTGAAAATAAGGCCAAGCACTTATTTCGTGAGGCAAAAGAAAATAAGACCCTGTCTTATTTTCGGGAAAACACGGTAGTACTTTCTTGACGTAAAATTTGCAAAAGGTGTGGTGAAGATAATACCAACATTTAAAAGGAAAGAGACGAGGAAACAACAGCAAGGTGGATGGGCTCAGTAACAGTGGATATACCACCAGAAGCCTTGAAAGGCCAGGTTGGAGACAGATCATTTTGGAGCATGTCTATCAACATGATTGCTAAGAATGACATTGAAATAATCAGTCAACCAGTTTAACTAATCAATGGCTCCTTGCCACAATAATAATTATGTTTCTTGCTGGATAGCACGAGTAGGAACCTTTAGCATCTGAATAAGCTATCCCAGAATCAGAATATGCCCTTGGTTACCCACCATGTTTCTTATGATATGCTAGAATGGCGGAAATGTTGCTAAGGATCTTATGAGGGAGGTAACAGAGGAAGCAGCCATTTAGGTAAGCTGCTGTGTGCCATATGAAGCATGGGGGAGCAGACAAAGACTTAGTAAATCCAAGAGAACTCTGCTTCTTTGGACAATTGACATGTCTTTTGACATGTCTAGACTAAGCAGTCATGTACAAAATAGGAAAACAGCTCTGACCTCCATTTTGGTCTCAGTCAATTTCCCCGTGCTCTCAGCCATCCCTTTTGCCCTCAGCATCTCTGAAAAAGATCGTTTTTGTAACTGGGAAAGAAATGGGAGATTTTTCTTCCACTAGAACATTAGGGCCAACATTTTATTTGATTCATACTGCATGCTTCTACTTTACTTTATCTCAATCATTCTGTCAGGATATAAGACAGAGTATGATAGGAAATAGAACTGCATCACTAGCTCAACTTTTAAAAAATGAGATTTTTTTGGCTCCTTTTCAGCTAGCGGTGAAAAAATGACCAAGAACATCCAGTTGTATAATACCTGGTTATTACAAAATGGATATAAAATTAAAAACTGCTTCCTGAATGACCTTACTTTGCATTCCTTTCCCTTTCAATTCTTTCTTTTATTTCATCCCTTTTTAGATTTAGGGGAGGGATTCCTGAATTATCAGTAACCTAGTTTGGGAGCCATTCCAGCAAAGGAATGTTGTATAAATTATAATTTTAACCCTTTGATCCAAGTCACCACCATTCATTCCCTTAACAAAGGAATTCCCTATTTCTCTAAATATTTTTAAATATTTTAATAGCAATTAAAACCATCTTCTACTTCCCCTTCCCCAATATGTGTGCNGAAGCTGGGACAAGTAACGGGAGCTCACTCCGTTACGTGGCGCTAAGGATTTGAGTTGCCGAACTGCTGACCTTTCTGATCGATAAGTTGAGCATCTTAGCCACTGAGCCCTTTAATAATGGTACTCTTTCCCAAAGAAAATACCCTCCTGATAACAAAGTTCCATTTTTATGCAGAGTAGGAACGGGTAACCTACTGGAAGCCTAACCTGCCCTCGGAGAAGTTCCCTATTTTTTTTTTAATTTTTAAAGTAAGTCCAATATATGTATTCCATATAATGTTTGCATTTACCTTAGATGGAGAACATTAACAATATTTTTTTCTTAAAATAAATTATCACATCCTGCTATGCAGCACAATATAGTAAATCTCTAGCCCCAAGAACCGTTGTATAATCCTTTGTGATGGCCTTCATATCGCCCATGTTTGGAGTCTTATGAATGAAACATCCATGCTGGGGTCTTATGAGAGGTTGTATGTTGGAAGTGATTAGAGCAGTGTTTCTTAACCTTGGCAACTTGAAGATGTCCGGACTTCAACTCCCAAAATTCCCCAGCCAGCAAATGCTGGCTGGGGAATTCTGGAAGTTGAAGTCCGGACATCTTCAAGTTTCCTAGGTTGAGAAACACTGGATTAGAGTATTCCGGGGGTACTTTGGCAAATACTCTGGTATTCAGATGTATTAAGAATTCCTGCATTAAAACTATTCACCAATGTTAATAGAGATAATAAGTAGCAGACATTGTTTATATTGTTTTAATCATGGAGGGAGGGAGGGAGGCTTGACAATTAGCTCCATTTGGAGAGAGGGGTATGATTTAATTGACTTTTAAGTGAACGGGCAGAATCCAGTAACAGTTAACAGCCATCCAATTCATCTAGAACAGCAGGGAAACTGAATGGCTAAAAACCTTCCTCCCATTAGATTATTTGAATGAACTTGATAAATACAGCTGTTTACACATTGCAATGTTAGTTTCTCCTCCAGAACACCCTTCCAACACCTCCTGCCAAGCAAGTGATGTGTTTAAACGCTGACAAGCAGCCTGCATGCACTGATGAACTTTCTCTTAACATACCTCCTTAATTCATCAGATTTATATCTTGACCTTCCTTCAAGCAAGACAGCATACATATCACTCCCTCATCTAATTTTCCACCACCACCACCTTACGAATTAGAGTTGCTCTGGAGTCAGGCAATCTAATAAATGACTGGATAAATGGGTTGACATCATGACGAACTCAAAAGGCGCACATTGAGTTCCATGATTGAAGGTGGACTTTTGAGTCTTCTCTGTGCTAACCTAATACTTGAAGAACTACACTGCACTATCTACACCTTCTTCTCAGATCCAAGATGGAGAAAGGTAACCATGTGAAATATTTCTAAAAATGCCCCACACAAATATGGGTATCTATGGAGATTCTCTGTCATCCAGGTCATGGTTTTGTCAGGGTTCCAAGTAACATACACGTAGCATACAAAACTCTGAGGCAGGCAATTTCCCAAATAGGTTTATTGGATATGCCATATTGGCACAGGCTGGTGAAAACTGACTCTGAATATTCCTGTGGTTTTCACCTAATTAAAAGTGAAAGTTTGTCATTTTCACAAAACAGTCACATGGTCCAATCAGGATACTGTCCAGTTGCTAGGTGACTCCAGTCCCCTCCTTCCGAGCACCTGTAGGAATGTCCTTGGTTCCCACAAGAAAGTATTTTGTTTTGGCTACAACATCCCAACTATCTCTGTTTTCCCTTCCCTATCCATCTTCTATGGTGTGTCAGCACTGAAATGTCAAAATGGCCTCAGTCAGGTGAGCTTCAGGGTTGACAGGTTGTCCCAAAGTTGCTTTTTTCCAAGAGGCATTGAAGACATCTCACTTCTCACCCAAGAAGCTGAAGAAGAAGAGCTGAAGAAGCTTCTTGAATGAGAAGCGAAAGGTCTTCAAAGAAAAACCAGAAAGTCCAGTTGCCTCTTGGAAAAAAGCACCTTTGAGACAAATATGGGTAGTTTGGAACATGGCACTTAGTAACATTATCTGCCTGTGAAATAACGAAGATTTTAAATTAAATTAATGCTATTTTACCAGTCATTTTGTGAATAGCCTTTTCTGGATAGCCCTCATTTCTATTGGAAATAAAAATAAAGATCAGATTTTAAAAAAAGTTATAGGACGAAAAAATAGAAATATCAAAGCCATTTTATTACATATAAAACTTTATTAAAATAATCCTAGTTGATATCAAATAGGGAGATTCTAATGAGATTTTTTCTTTTTGGCTGGAATGGGACTTTTCTTTGCAGCTTTGCTTTGAGTTTTTGGTTCGTACAGCGCATTTCGTAAAAATCTTGATGCCGCGCCTTTATCCAGCCTGGCAGCTTTTTTCTTTTCTTCAATCTCTCTTACTTTGTTCATGTATGTTCTTATTCTCTCCTGAAACACATGAAAAAAGCACATTTCCTATCATACCAAAAAGAGCAGAAATATTTTCAAACTCAAGTCAGCTGGGGGAAAAAAAAAGCCAACAGTGAAGTTATGGAGATGTTCGAGCAGTATTTCAAAATACAGTGGAGGCTTTTGAATGTTGAGCAAGTTTTTTCAGAGATACATACAAAATCCAAGTAAGATGCCCTTTTCCTGTAGGAAGTTGCATGAGGAAGTTTCATTAGTTGCACAAGTGAACAATTCTCTGTATGAGCCCATATCCACAGCAATCTCCTAGCCAGGGGTGTCAAACTAGAGTCATCATGGTGGCATCACGTGACATATCACAACTTTTTTCCCCTTCGCTAAACCGAGCGTGGGCATAGCAATAGCAGTTAGACTTATATACTGCTTCATAGGGCTTTCAGCCCTCTCTAAGCGGTTTACAGAGTCAGCATATTGCCCCCAACAATCCG